GACAGGGTCTCACTCTGTAGTTGAGACTGACCTGGAACTCACTATGTAGCCCAGGTTGGTCTTGAACTCACAGTGATCCTCCTGCCTCAGCCTCCTGAGTGCTGGGATTATAGGCATGTGCCACCACACCTGGCTTTTCTCCTTTGTAATTCATTAGTGTTTTGTGGAGAGGTGCTTAGAAACTATGTAAATGTCTTCCTCCTCATCAAACCTTCGATTTATTATTTCTTTATTTATATCATGGACTTTTTTTTTTTTTTGACAGCTTTTCCCTGTGTAGTTTAGGGCCTTGAACTCACTGTGTAGCCCAGCTGGCCTCACGCTCATGACAATCCTCCTGCCTCAGCCTCCTGAATGCTGGGATTATGGCTATGCGTCACCATACCTGGTTATATCATGGGTTTATAAAGTCTCATTTCACTCAATGGATTACCCTGGGGATTGAACCCAGGGCCTCATGCATATACATACCCAGTTATTTTTTCTTAGTTTTTTTTCTTCTTTCTTTAAAATTTTGATGAAGGGTCCTACTAAGGTCTTGCTCAGTTGCCCAGATTGGCCTCAAACCTTTGATCCTGCTGCCTCGTCTGCCTCAGCTTCCTGAATACCTGGGGTTGCAGGCATGTGCTACCATACCAGCTACACTGTCTTTCTTTCTTTCTTTTCTTTCTTTTTTTTTTTTTTTTTTTTTTTTTGTTTTTTTTTTGATGGTACTGGAATCAAAGTCAGGACCTTGCACTTGCAAGGCAGTCAGCGGCACCACTGAGCTAAATCCCCAGCCCTGTACTGTATTTATTTCAATGGTCAATTTGGCTAAGATTTGACCAGTGGAAATCTTTTGGTTTCTGTGTTCTTTTCACATTCTTTAAGCACGTCCTTGTTTTCTGCTACCACAGATATTTTAAGTTCGCCCAGGTTTCCCTGTTGTAGTCCTGAGAATAGACATTTCTTTGAATGACCTGATTCATTTTAGTATAGAGTGGTATTTACAAGCCAAGATCTGGGCCAGGAATGTAGCTCAGTGGTGCAGCACCTGTCCGGCAAGCACAAAGCCTTGAGTTCATTTCTCAGTAGCAAAAAAGAAAAAGAAAAATAGAAACCAGGATCTGGGTGCAAAGTGTCATTGTCATTGATTTTCTCTGCTCAAGCCCTGTCAGTGGGAAGAGGTAGGGAATGTAGGTTCTACATCTAGATACACTTGTCCTTTCTGTACAATGATCTGAAACCCATAAGTTCACAGCAATACTCCCAACTCCCACCTAACACCACCGGACTCACCCGCCTTTCTTTTCTTTTCCTATTCGTTAACTCTTCTCTGAAGAGAAACCTGCCTCCCCCTGCCCTTAACACCTTTGCTCGCTTGACCAGTCCCTGGAGAGTAACCAACCTCACTGTCGCTCTGGCCCCACACAGAAGCTGGGCTGTGCTTGGCACAGAGCTCAGGCTCTGACTCCACATCAGGCCACCCCAGGAGGGACACCCTCCTCATCCTGCTTGGGCCCCTGCAGTACCAGGCCAGGCCACCACAGGCGGGATGCCCTCCTCACCAGGCCCGACTCCGTCACCTGTGCCTGGCCACACCCCACCCGGACACTCCCTGGCGTACTCAGTCTGGCTCCCTGGTAGCCACACCCGGGCTCCCACGTACCCCACCGCCCACCCCTGAATGTGGACACTACCTTGCTCTGCCCCATGGTTGACTCGGGTTGTTTGAGAAAACAAGGGAAAAAAGAGCACTTTGCTGATGCTGAGGATGACACAGGGGGCCGGGTTTTGTTGTCGTTGTTTTTGTTTGTTTGTTTGTTTTGTTTTTGGTACCAGGGACCAAATTCAGGACCTTGCCAGCCAGGCACGGCACCCCTGAGCTACATCTGGGGCGCATCGTTCTTGTAAAAGAGATGAAAAGCAGTTGCTTGAGCTCCCCTGTGTCCCGGCTGCACTCCTCACTAGGTCCCCCATGGGCTTCCCTGGGGAATAGAGCAGGGGCTGCAGTGCCCCCAGGTAGAAGAACCACATCCCTAGTCTGTTTGTATCTTACATGAGTTTCTGCAGAAGAAATTTAAACCTGTGGCTTTTTATAAAGAGTTAGGAGGGCCAGGGATTTAGCTCAGTGGCACCACACCTGCCTCGCAAGCACAAGGTCCTGAGTTGGATCCCCAGTACCAAAAACTAAATAAAAAATAAATAAACAAAGGAGCCAGGACCACACTTACAGACTGAGGGGGCCAAGCCCAGTCTAGGACAGGCGCAGGCAGCAGCATGTCCAGGCAGAGCTGCGCAGGACAGTGGTTCCTGGCTACGAGGGCTTTGCAGGGTTTTGAGGCCCAGGGTCTTACCTGGGGCTTGACTCTGGCTTTTTGCAATTTGAGCTGATTATTATTCACTGAGTGCCTGCTATGCTCCAGGCACAGAGCTGAGTGTGGGATGTAGACTGAAAAAACAGATGTGATCACTGCCTTCTGGGAGCGCAGAATGAGGTACACAGAGAGAAAATGCTCACAAATGAACATGGTAGCGAGAGACTGTGGGAGCGGCTGGGGATGCCTGTAGGATTGGAGAAGGGGTTTGTAGCCAGGCTGAGTTGGGCAGGGTCCTGACAGAGGTATTTTTGTAGTGTTGGGAATTGAACCCAGAGCTTCGCAAGTGCTAACCAAGCACTCTATTTGAAAGGGGGTTCGCGTGCCCTTTCGGGTGCCCCTTCCCAATTAGGCCACTCACGCACCGCACTGAGAGGTCCGGCAGGAGATCTTTATTGTAGGGAGGCGAGCAGGAGGCAGGAAGGCAGAGCGAGAGAGAGAGAGAGAGAGAGAGAGGAGGAAGAAGAAGCAGAAGGAGAGAGAAGAACAAAGAAAGGAAATTCCTTTTATCAGTTTTGGGGTGGGGTATTGCTTATTTATGAGGAGTGAGCTACTTTTAACCTATCACAGGCCAGATTGCTTTTATGAGCCCAGTCCTGCAGACACAGGTTTCAACTTTCCTGGACCACTGTGGCCTTGGGGGGTAGGGAAACCAGAGATAAGGGCATGAGGTCATTTTAGGAGCCAAGATGTACCAGGAGAATGCAGCCTGTGAGGCGGCGTCACTGCATACTTTAACATGATCAATTCCCTAACACTATTGAGGCAAGAGGCAGACAGGGTGGGAGACACCCTGGCTCTATGCTCACAACGGACTGGATGCCTGCTGGCTCTCAGAGGCCAAAAGAGCATCCTGCCCTCACCCTAAGTCCTTAACATCCTGACAAGAGCCTTAAAAATATCCTCCTGCCCTTATTGCATGTCCATGACCTCTGGCACAAGGAGCATGCGCTCTAAACTGCTTTAGAGTCACTGAGGGTGACCCCATGGTCATTGTCATATCATTAGCATTGTGGTTTTCCCACTCTCCAGGGCTTTGGCAGCCATGCTGCTTCTGCCTAGGCTGGTATGAAGTAAAAAACCACCCTCTTCCAATATGAGGGTGGAGACTCAATTAACTGGACACAGTCTCCTTGTGTGCCATCTGAGACCCCAAGATCCAAGAAAGGTCCCAGTAAATACCTCAAAACCTAAAGCAAAGAGGCCACTCTGAGCTCAACTCTTTGAATTTTCTTACCAGCCCACTCCCACCCTGTGGAGTGTATTTTCCTTCAATAAATCTCTCTTTCTTACTACTTCTGTGTGTCCTGCTCAATTCTTTATTCAAAAAGCCTGGACATCCCATGAGACTCCAACCCCTGAGCTACAACCCCGCCTTATAATTTTTAAACCCAGTAAGAATTCCATTAGGCAGTTTCTTGGCCCCAGGGCAACCTCTCTTCAAATCTAGAGCTGGGGAGAGGGCAGTGTTTCCCAAGGCCTGACCGATGATAGAAAGACCCAAAAGGCAGCCTGGCCTACAGAACTTTCCAGAGCCCCACCAGGTTACCTTCCTTGGGGCTTTTTCCTCTGGCATCCAGCTGGCAAGACCAATGAGCCTAATGCGCCCAGGGACAAAAATCAAAAGGCTAGAAGGTTCAAAGGGTAGAACAAGAAATACAGGACTGTAGAACAAGAAGAAAGGAATCTTCAACATGAAGAAATCATCAAAAAAAATTTTTTTAAATAAAAATTTAGCCGGGCATGGTGACCTACACCTATAATCCCAGCACCATGGGAGGCTGAGACAGAAGGACTGAAAGTTTGAGCCCAGCCAGGGCGACTCAAGTGAAAACCTGTCTCACAATAAAAAACTTAGGGCTAGGAAACTGCCTTGGAAACTTGAGGTCCTGAGTTCAATTCCTGGTACTGGGGAGAAAAATATGTAAAAAGGATTGGGCATACGGTTCAAGGTGAAGGCCCTAGGTTCAATCCCCAGTACCACCAAAAATATATATATAGAGAGAGATAGATATAGATATAGATAGATAGATACAGATATCCAGTGTGGTGGCACACACCTGTAATTCCAGCACTCAGGAGGCTGAGGCAAGAGGATGGTATTAAACCCCTGAATGAAGAGATTGGAAATAAAGAAATACAAGAGTTCAAAAGTAAGGATAAAAACTGGGATAAAATGGTTGTAATATTGAAAAAAATTCTAAAAACTAAAACTGCTAAATGTAGACAGGAAAAATGGGCAAGACAGGCAGATCAAAACAAGAACATAGAGCCAGGTGTGGTGGTGCACACCTGTTATCTCAGCAGTCTAGGAGCCTGAGGCAGAAGGATCTCAGTGTGAGCCCAACTGAGGTAGCTTATCAATTATTTTTGTTTCTTTGTTTGTTTTGGTACCAGGGATCAAACGCAGGTCCTTGTGCTTGCAAGGAAGGCAGCGGAACCATGGAGCTAAATCCCTGGCCCCAATTTAGCAATTTAATGAGACCCTGTCTCAAAGAAGGAAAAAAAAAAAAAAAGGTCTGGGATATAGTTTAGGAAGGCCCTGAGTTCCCAGTACCGAAGAAAAGAAAAAAGATAACAAACTTTCCATTTGCCTTTAAACAGAGTCAAAGAAGACCTTTCCAAGAAGGATGCAAGCAACAAGAGTGAAGAAATTTCTCTTCAGCAGCTGGGAGCCTCTCCCCTCAAAGAAACCATCTAAGCTGCCAATAGCCTGGTGCCAGCTGGCTCAGCCTGGTGCAGATTGTTTCTGGGGCTTCCCCTGGGGTCTGGAGTGAGGTGGAGGGACAGCTGGGACCTGGTCCACTGAATGACACCAGCGAAGAGCCGCCCCCAGGCCCGGGAAGGCCCTCAGAAGGAAGCCCAGCCCTCCGCATTCACAAAGGAGAAAGCACCTTTGGGCTATAGCAGTGAAAGTCCTGTTTTCCTCTCCTCCAAATCTGCCCTGAAACCTCCACTTCCTCTGCTTCCGGAATGGAGACAGCTGTGTCTTTTTCGGTGTAGGGTGACATCTCTACCACGGGCTGTCCTTGGATCAGCCCCACTTGACTTGAGGAACTTTCAGAACTCATTCTGTTCCACCCATTTGGAAAAAGTAAATACTCCTTGGCTTGGAGCTTGCGTGTATCCTCTTTAGGCAAATGTCTCCACAGAAGGACTTCCTGCTGATTTTTTCCCTTTTTTGGTGGTGGTGATACAGAGCTTTTGCACTGAGCTACATCCCAGCCCTTGTTTGTTTGTTTGTTTGTTTGTTTTACCCAACACTTTGTTTATTTTTTTAATTTGTTTTGTTTTGGGTGACTGGCTCTGGCTAAATTGTTCAGGCTGGACTCAAACATGCTGTCCTGTCTCAGCCCCCAGAGTGCTGGGATGATAGGTGTGCACCACCACACCCCACTTCCTGCCTGCCTTTGCAGCCCCAGGACCCTCTTTCAGGGACCATGCCGATGGTAACAGCAGATAGCTGATGAATAAATGGTGAAACCAGATTCAGGAAGTGGGTACTGACCCTCGCTGTCCTTCAAATTCCCCGCCAGAGGGCTTTTGTGGGAGTGGGTGTTGCGGTCCTCCTAGATCTGTGAGAAAGAAATGACAGAAACAACACACACAAAGACAGGACAGGACTGCAGCCCCGAGGACCCAGTCACGTTTACTTTTATACAGTTTGTTCCGGCAGCCCCTCGTCTGCTGACAATATAATTCTCCTTCCTTATCTGTCTGTCAGAACACTCCAACTGTCTCACGAGATTGATGACGCAAGCTCAAGAAGCCCAGAGCGCGCAGCTGGACTTCAGCCCTTCCTGTTTGCTCAGAAGAGCACTGTCTTGTTTGCAGGCACAGAGTTGTAAAGAATGTCTAGAACAATCTGTCGTGTTTGCAAGCAGAGTTCACGACATTCCCAAGGACTGCTCTGTTTGCTGAACTTTATCTCATGAGGCAGTGTAAGCTGACAGCTGGACTTTGGTTTCTTATACTGTCTCAACCTCCTTCATTTCCCCCTTTTTGTTTATATGTTGCATCTCAACATGATGGAGGGCTGCCATGACATTTAATTGTGTCCTGGCGGACTGTCGTCTTTGGAACCATCGAAGGAGGACTAAAAGAGTAATACACAAAGTGATTGATATGATTACAAAATTACCAGCCATAGAGGTTAGCATATTCTCTACAGCTTCAAGGGGATTCAATTTTTGAAGCCCCGAAGATATTCCTTGTAATATATCCTCTCCCGATAACTGAGGTAGACTTTTACTGAAAGTATCACTTATCTGTTTTTCTAATTCCATTAATTCTATCGTCATGTTATTATGACCAACTAAGGACCTTTTTCTCTTTTCCCATCCTTCTGAGATATTATACGGAACAGGAGTAATACAGAATTGAGAAGTATTCCAATCACAACGTAAGACAGCACGAGTAGCAATCACAGACAATTGATCACCCAACCATTGAACAGTCTGTTGTAAATTTTGAATATCTTCAGCAAATTGAGAGTCAGTATCTCTCTGTTGTTGCCATAATGTAGGAGAGTCACGATGCCATCGTCGGACATAGTCCGCCGTCTTGAATACCTCGATGTAATGCAACCCCTGCCGCAGCAGCAGTAGCAGTTATGGTGGCAAGTCCAAGAACGGCAGTGATCATGACGCCCACAAAACGTTTGGAGCGAAGAACAAATCCTTGTAACATTTGATAAAGTTGAAAAGTTCCAGGGGAATCACTGCAGACACGGGTGTGATTAACGGGAATCCATAATTCAGTGCGGGCTTTCAAGATGTGTAAATCATCAGCAGAGCAGTTGAGTGTCTCCCACCAGGTCACATTTACACAGTGTAGGAGAGTACAGTTACAGGAACGTGCAACAGTGCCAATAGTAAGGTTCCAGTCTATTTGTCCACTCATTAATACATAAGGTGGCTTAACACAAACCTTAATTCTTCGAGAAGAATTGGAATGTAAATTAACTTGAAAATTAGAATTATTAACAAGACACATATTTCCAACCCAGGTTTGCATTTCTTTCCCAGCTGCTAATAATTTCCAAAGGTGTCTTCGAATTTGGGTTTGACCAAATAAGTGTGGCACAGGAGGGGGTCAAACCTCCATCATCATATCAAACAACAGTTTCATTCCTGGTTCCTAATAGAGTGTGATTATACCAATGTCACTTTAAAGGAATATGTTCAAATGTCCCCACGAAATCACCATGAGGGCTCCAGTCGCTAACAACTGGCCCTGAGTTTTCTGAATCATTTAACAATAATCTGGGTTGATGACCTCTGCATTTATCCCATTTCAAATATTCAAAACTCTTGGTAATGAGCCAAGGGAGGCCAGAGGGAATATCAACGGGGGATTTTCCAAACACCTTAAAACTTTGGGCTGATATTATTACAGTATCCGTGATACCCCCTCTTCCCCCTTTTTGTTTATAAAGTTGAGTTTTTAGTGTGCGATTAGCACGTTTAATGATGCCTGGTCTCTGACTATTAAAAGGCATGTCTGTGATATGTACAATATTATACAGATGTAGAAAACTTTTAAACTTCTCAGAAGAATAACTAGGAGCATTATCAGTTTTTAAAGTTTGTGGGACTCCCATGATAGCAAAACATTGTAATAAATGAGTGATAACCGCGTCTGTCTTTTTGGATGCCAACGGAGTGGCCCAATGAGAAAATGTATCGATTGTGTGATGAATATACTTTAATTTCCCCAAAGGAGGTAAATGTGTCACATCCATTTGCCAGAGTGAATTTACCTCGAGACCACAAGGGTTCACCCCTGGGGACTGCATAGAGAGAATTAAAGGAGCGCAAGCATCACAGTGTCTAACAATATTCTGTGCCACTCAGTGAGTAAGTTTAGAAGAGGCCTGTAAGCCCTTGGCACTGGTGTGATGTAAAGTATGTTCCTCTTGAGCTTTAATTACATTAGCCATCGATAATTTATCAATAATATCATTACCTTTTGTAAGTGGACCGGGGAGATTAGAATGAGCTCTTATATGGGAAATAAACAAAAGTTCAGAACGCGATATCAGAAGATCATAAGCCTGTTGAAATAATTTTTGTAACACAGTATTCGGAGTTAAAGGCAATGATGTTTGTGAGCGCAGTGATAATTGTAAGAACAGCACATTGGGAATCACTGACAATATTAATTGCTTGATTAGGATGATCAGACAAGACCATACAGATGGCCCATAATACAGCTTGCTGTATAGAATATCCATTCACATCATCGATCTTATAGCCTATTTCACTCCAATAGCCAGCTTTCCCATTTTTAGTTGCATCTGTAAAAAAGGTAGGCCCATCAACGGGGGTAGAAGAGACAGGTGAAAGGTGTAAAACAGAATGTTCTTGCAAGAAAGAAAAAAGTTTATGAGGAGGATAATGATTATCAAAAATCCCTAAAAAATTAGAACAGGCGATTTGCAGTTCATCATCCATTTCCAAAAGTCTTTGAACCTGTGAGGATTGTAATCTAGTAGCTCTTTTATGGGGGTCATATCCACAGAATTGTCGGCAGCGATGCTGACCTTTATAAATAATAGCAGCAATTTTGTCAATATAAGTAGTTAATTTTTTCATATATTTCTTGGTTAAAAACAACCATTCCAAAAGTCGATCAGACTGACCTATACATCCTGAGGGAGAGTGAAGTATATGGGAAGCAAAGATTGTAAGTAGTTCATCCAAGTTCTTAAATCTCACAAAAGTATCATTGAGACGTTTGTCAATCGATTTTAATTCATTCAAGGCTTCGGGATTCAAAGAGCAGGGACTCTCTAAGCAGGGATCTTCTTCTAAAATTTCAAATAAATGTCTCAGATCACCAGTGGGAATTCCTAAAAGAGGTCACAACCAATTTATATCTCCTAATAATTTTTGAAAATCATTAAGCATTTGTAAATTGTCTCATCTAATTGATATTTTTTGAGGTCTAATAAGACTTTCACTTAATTGATATCCCAAATAATTATAAGGTGGATCTAACTGTGTTTTCTCAGGAGCTATGCACAAATTAAACATTTGTAATTATTCTTAAAGTTTAGCAAAGCATTGATCCCTTATTATTTGCGTAGGTGCCGTAAGCAAAATATCATCCATATAATGATATAAAATAATATTAGGATATAAATGTCATATTTAAATAAATGTTAATCAAGCTGTAAAGCTTGATTAACAAATTCCTGACAAAGAGTGGGGCTATTTAACATTCCCTGGGGCAACACTGTCCACTGATATCTTCAGTGGGTCAGCCACTTTTGTATTCAGGTATTGTGAATGCAAATTTTTCCTCATCTTCTGGCTGAAGTGGGATAGTAAAAAACAATCTTTAAGATCAATAACTAATATGGACCATCCTTGTAGAATCATGGAAGGCAGGGGGAGACCAGGTTATAGTGGCCCCATTGGTTGTGTACATTTATTTATTTCTCTCAAGTCCATAAGAAATCTCCATTTACCACTCTTTCTTAATTACAAACACGGGAGAATTCCGGGGAGAAGTAGAAAATTCTACATGTCCGGCATCTAATTGTTCCTTTACTAATATTTTAAGGGCCTTGAGTTTTTCTTTCATTAAAGGCCACTGTTCAGTCCATTTAGGGTTGAGTGTATTCCACTGTAATTTTAAAGCTCGAGGCTTTTGAACAGTGGCCATCAGTTTAAAGGAGATTTAGTGAAAGGATTGTAACTCATGTTAAGCATCATATTTTTAACATTATCTGAAAGGCCAGGGATGGACAAAAAGGCTCCAAATTGTTTTAAGAGATCTCTTCCCCAAATATTAGTGCTAAAGTCTACTATGTAAAAGGAAACCTTTCCTATTTACCCATCAGGGCCACAGCACTCCAAAGGTTGGACACTCTGTCCCACCTTACTAATGGTTCCTACTCCAGAAAGAGTCACCATGACAGAATGGGAAGGCCACTGAGAGGGCCAGTGAGCCAAACAGATAATAGAAACATCAGCTCCTGTATCTACAAGTCCCTCAAAGGGAGTCCCTTGGAGTTCTATCCTCATAGAAGGTCTCTGATCATTAATAAGAGTTTCCCAAAAAAATTATTTTTCCTGTGCTACCATATCCTCCTGTCCATACTTGATTTTGAGTCTGGAAGGGGACATGAGTTAACAATAATAGTTGTGCAACTCTCTCGCCAGCTGTAATGGTAAGTGTTTGTG